CTCTTCCACCCCCCCCCCCCCCCCCAACTAAAGCTCTTCCGTCAAGAGACAAGGGCCTGAGCACTCAGGAATATGAAAGCCAAGTCCCTTTCAGGAGTTTGGCCAGCAGAGCCATCGGCACCCCAAGGCAACAGCCCATAATGCTTAGCTATGAGGCAATCTAATGGACTGTCAGCATGTCTTCAGTGTGAACACCAGACTGCTGCCTAACAAAGTTCAAACCTACTTCCTGATTAGACAGTAAGCAGGATCAATTTACAATATTTCATACACGCACTATGATAAGTCACCTGAGCTGACACTCTGCTCTGCCATCTGCCAGGGGCATCTGTGCTGCAGTCAGCAAGTTACTAAGAGATGGAGAAGCAGGAGGTGCCAGGAACAAGAGAGGCTCTTTGAGAAGCCCCACCTCACCCACGAGTAGGTAAGACAGTCTACAGATTAGCCTCAGCCTTAGGCGACAAACCAAATGCCATCAAAGCTGCTCTGTCCAGGACACGGGAAGGTGAATCTCAGGAAGTCAATCAATGTGACCCCTGACAATTCGAGATAAAGGGGAGGGAACAACATCCGAAGTCCAAACCCCAAGAGTGTTGAAGGCCACCTGTCACCATGGCTTAAGTTCTGGAGCCCATCCACAGCCATTGTGTGAGGAAGGATGGGTGATTAGAACAGGTCAGGCTACACATGCCTGTAGCCTCAGCACCCAGGACGCTGAGGCAGGGGGATTGCTAGAGCTCACCTTAAACAGAGATCAGAGGAAGAAAATGAAGGGAGGAGTTTTTAGTGACAGACAGGACTGTCTCAGAAAATCTGAGACGTTCTCAAGGCCAGTGTAAGAAACAATGCATTCCATGAGGCACAGGTGTGGAGTGCTATGCTCTCCATGTACACAACCTGTCTCCTCTGGGCTCCACACAGCACCCAAACCTCTCCTGGGGTCTACACAGCAGCTAGCATTCCTCAGAAGGGAAAATTATCTTCCCACCAGACAGACAAGGAAGACAATGAGGGCAGAAATGCAGTGTGGACTCACAAGCTAGCCTCTGCCCTCTGTGGCCGTGTGCCCAGTCTCACTTCTCCATGCCCAGTGTTCCTGTGAACTCTCCTGATTCCAGCCCACACTGCATGATCAGGGGAAAGGCAAGGCCCACGCCAGGAAGGATGACCAGGATACATGGCAGCTGTCACTTCCCATAGTTTACCCAGAGCCCCCACTGTAGTGATATATTTGCCTGTGTACCTGTAACAGAGACCACGACTTTTGGGTATGGTTACAGGTGCAGATGTGACTGGTTAAAGGAAGAGGATGGGAAATTGGGGTCCCCTTTGGGTCACAAAAAGCATCAAGGAGGCAGGGCCTGCATCCTTGAAGCAGGAATGCCCGGACAGTCACTTATTGTTTTCTGTGTATCCCCAATAAAACTCCACTTATCATTTATACTGGGTCTGGTGAATACATAATTTCCACACCTTCACCCCACTCCATACAAAGCTGGCCCAGCCCAGCTTGATGTGTAGCACTGTAGAGCCCAGGTTCAGATGTGGCATCTTCTTACTGACTCACTCACTCTATTACGTGACTGGGCAGAGCCTAGCAGATGGTGGCCATGAGACAAGATCCAGGATACTCAATCAGAGCAACCATGTGGCCAAACATGGCAGATGGAGGCTGGATACATCTGGCCTGGCCTGCAGGAGGAGATTTTGCTGACAGACACCATCCACACAGGTCATAAATGCCAGAAAGGTGTATACATGCAGTTCTTTACCTGTATTCCACCCTCGGGAGCGCAGTACAGGTAACAGAAGTCCTCAATGGGAAGCAGTCCACAGCCAGACCACTCTCCTCCTGGAGTCACTTGTCATCCTAAAACTTACAAACAGTACCAGCTGGCAGCACAGATGCAGAGAGACAGAGCTACACTATGGGGAAGGCAAAGTTCACATCCACGGAGACAGCCTCCTGGGGCAGCCCGCAGGGCTGTGAGGCCAGGTCTGCCACGTTATCTGGACAGGTGGCTTCTGGCCCCAGCTGGCCTTCATGGGACGATAAGTACACCAGCTGTACACGGCTTTCTAAACACAGGCATGGTCAAGAGCCCATTCCAGTTAACTACCCCAAGTCATCACAGAGGCATGCCTGTAGCACACAGGTGTGGGCATGAGTGTGCTCACAGGAACATGTGTGAGGGAAGGCATGCACTTTAAGACATTAGTGAAACAAGAGGGGCTTTTTTAAAGGAGGCAGGTCTGTGCAAACTGAAAGTTACAATTCAGTTGTGGTAGCACTCCCACATACCTTCAGTGGGAAGCTTTCCTGGTTTGTTTGAATTTTGTTTGCTTGTTTGAAACAAAGTACAACCTAGTCCAAGTCCAGGCTGCTCTCAAACTTGATATGTAACAGAGGAAGACCTTGTACGCCTGACCCCTGCCTCTGCTGTGATCACAGGCTTTATGCCGTGTTGGGGATCAAACCCAGGGCTTCGTACATGCTGGGTGAGTGCTCCATCAGCATAGTCCTAGCCCGTTTGAATTTCTTAGAGCTTTTTATGAGTTCTGGAATATTAATTACAAACCACTCTGGGTTTGTGGATCATCCCAAAAGAGTGAGACTCTAGATGGAGTAAGGAACATAGCTTTATTTATTATATTTGGTTCTGGTTCAAGTTTTACAAGCATATGCTACTTCTATAATTAAAATGCACACGTTGAGAAGGAAGTTAACTCGCTTACACAGGGCTCCTACCTTTGTGTCTGCATGGCGTCAGTCTACCCACCCACCCAGCCCTGAGAAGACTCTTCTCTTCTTTCAGGAAAAGTGCTTCCCTTTGCAGGATGTCTGCCATTACTAGACAGCCTGGCAGGGCATCTGTGCCCTTTGCTCTCCCCTCACACAACACTCTGGAACCCAAAGATAATCTCTGCCTAGCACAGCAAGACGCAGGCACTGCACAGCAGGTGGGTGTCTCAACCTCCACTGAATTCCCCTTTTCTGCCTCTGGAGGGAACACTAGGCTCCAGCATCACCCAGCACCTGCTAGCTTCCTGCAACCTTTGTCACCAGGGCAACACACCTGGACTACAGCACTTAAATGTGCTGAATGAGGATTGTCCTCTATTGCACCAAGTGACACAATGAAGAGCCCCTCTGGAAAGCTCCACTCCTCTGGAGATTTCTGCTCCCTTCCCAACCTGGCCAGAAACGTTTAACCTGAGCTTGTTATTTAGGACTTGCTGGGAAGTAGCCCTTCCTGGTATAGACTCAGATGGGCTCTGCTCAGGACAGGCTGCATTCCTGGAGTGCTCCACGTCCCTGGGTGACCAAACACATACCACCTCCTGGCCCCCACCCCCTCCCTACTGCTAATTCCCCTGGCAGCAAATCCCCTCTGGCAATTGCTTAGTGCTGTTAGGTAAGGGCTTCTGCAGTCCCTGTCGAGTCCCACTGATGCCCAGACCCTCTTCACACAACTTCTTCCCGCCCCAAGGCTCTCCAAATGTTGGGTTGGAAGCACGTGCCTTTTTGGGTGCTTACTAGCTGTTTGAACAGCTTTATCTATTCATTTATTTATCTTACATTTATTTATTTGGGGATGTTGCATGCCACATCAGGCATGTGGAGGTCAAAGGACAATGTTCAGGGGACAGTTCTTTCCTGCCACTGTGTAGTTTCCAGTGATCAAACCTGGGTAGTCAGGGCTTCACAGGAAGTGCCCTGACTCACTGACCAGATGTCCCTGGCCCTGAACAGCTTTCAAGATGCCAGTTGTTGTAGGAAACAAATGTTGCCACACATTCAGTATTTGGGATGGATAATGGGGACAGACTATTCCAGGGCCCTCTGTGAGCTGTTCCTGTCCTGTTTCTTACTGAGAGTTGGGGGTCAGTGCAATGTGGTCACCAAGTTCCCAGATACTGTGTTATAGATCCAACTTGGAAGCACTCCTACCTTTCCCAGAGCCAGCAACGTTCCAGCCTGAGGCTCTTCTCCCAACTCATTTCCCAGTCCTCAGATGTGACAACCAGAGTGCCTGTCCCTATAGTGAGGTGCACTTGGTGCCTTTCACAACTTACTTTCTACACCACTCTGCCACACAATGCCCCTGCCCCTAGACTCAGAAGGGTCACAGCTCCAGCACTGTCCCATCTGGGCAGTGTACGATCCCACACACAACTGGCCTGGGTTGGACCTGACTAGGGTGTCTATATGTTTTTGTTGAGAAAAACTGGTACACAACAATGAAGCTCTGCATAAGTGTTTACTTTGCAGAAATAGCAAGAGAGAGAGAGAGAGAGAAAGAGAGAGAGAGAGAGAGAGAGAGAGAGAGAGAGAGAGAGAGAGAGAGAGAGAGAGAGAGAGAGTGTGTGTGTGTGTGTGTGTGTGTGTGTGTGTGTGTGTGTGTGTGTGTGAACCTGGAGGGGGTCTGCCCAGAGCACCAGTCAGTCAAAGCTACCATGGGCACCTATCTGACCAGCCATTCAATTTTGAGACAAAGGAGAGGTTAGAGATAATTTTCAGGAAATCATAGCTATAAACAGAAAAGGCATGAGACTAGAATTTGGTTGCAATAATCCTAATTATATTTTGGGGGAAGGGAGCTTAAGCTAGGGTCTCACTCTATAGCCCACACAGGCCATGAATGCATGATGTTCCTGCCAGTCTCCCAAGTACTGGGATAACAGGTATGCATTATCACAAAGACCCAGCTCCTACTTAATCAAATGTGTTTGTTGTTGTTGCAAATAAAAAAGTGAGTTTCAGTATACTCTTGGCCACAATCTGGCCTAGAAAGTTAAACTACGTGCCCAATGCCTGTAAAGAGCTGGGACTCTGACCTAAACCATGAACTTGCAGTCTGAACCAAGGGATCCGCTGCAGACAGCACCCACTCTGCAGGGATCCACTGCAGACAGCACCCACTCTGCAGAGATCTTCTGGGTCATGGAGGAAAAGCAGGAGGCCACCTGATCCAGGTTGACCATTGAGGATGAGTCTATGGTTCAAGCTCCTTCATTAAGAGGCCCTGGGGATGACATGAAGTTCCAAAGGAAGAAGGAGAAGGGAGAGATGTTCCCCAGTCACACAGAGTGCTGGGCTCTGTTCTCAGGCCTGGTGACACAGAACCCACTGGCAGACTGACACAGCTAATGAGTTCAGTTTTCCACCAACACAAGCCCCTGTGGCCTCCGGGAAGAGATGCACCTGTCCTGTTTCTGCCAGAAAGCAACTCTGACCCTAGGGCCATATGCTTTCAGGTCCTGGCTAGGTAGCTGCCAGTGGGTCTCGGGAGCCATTTTGCAGAGGGGAATGCCATGCAAGAGCTGAGTCTTGGCAGCTACCTCAGCCCAGCATCCTCGCTCTGCTTCATCCTCAGACAAGTGATACACAGATGTAGACAGCCTTCTGACCATAGAGAGCATTAAAGTGCGTGCCCTTGAAGAAAACCAGCAGGCATATTAAGTAAGACCTGGCCATGCCCAGGGCTCTGGTGGTCCTACTAGCCCTCTCTAAACTGGGTGGACACTGTGAGGTCAAAGACTGATAGTCTTCTGCTAACTGGAGCGGGCCATGTCACCCAAAGGACCCACACCCAGGCTGTACCCAGGACACAGAGATAGACAGACATGCAGGCACAAACCCACCACACTCTCTTCACTTACCAAGGCACAGGGTAGCAGGGCCAGGTGATGGCTGTCCTCAAGGGTGTCCAACCTGCAGGGCCTAGAAGAGAAAGACATGGTCATGCATGTGGCATACAAGGCTTAGGAGATGCAATTTCCCTCGAAACAGGAAAACTGAGAGCTATGCAGAAACTTCCCCCAGGAATTCAAGCCAATTCCAGGACCATGGCCCCTGGAAAGGGGGAAGTTGAGTCACTAATTCCCATTGCACAGCAGGAGGCTAGCAGATACTCACACATGAACAAACCCAGAGACAGCCAGCAGGTACATTCCAGAACACTAAGGACCACTGCAGAGACCTGCAGACCCCTAAGCAGTAGAGGTGGGCTGCATCTGCCCCAAACAACAGAACGGCCTCTCTCTGCCCCGAAGGCTGTCCTACCTGGAGCCACTGGCCACCTCTTATGCATGATGACCCTTCCCACCCACTGCACTAAAGGAGGGTTCAAATGAGTCCACCAGATCCAGATAAATGATTAACAGGTGTTTATTAGGGAAGCACTTACACAATCAATGGTAAATAACCGCCTTGGGTCTTCCTGCCCCCCAAGATGCAGTCTTTGCCCTTCCAGGTCTCCAACTACCACCCTAAAGCACGAGCCAGCCCCTCCTCTTCCTTATAAGGGGTCACATCTGCACACCTGAAGCCACGCCCCTAGGATGCAGCCACCACTGCAAGTCCATTGGTGAAACAAGATCCATTCCACAGCATCAGGGTCCTCCAGCTCCCAGCAGCCCTGCAGTACCATACACCAGCCTTCAGGGACCAGCACTCCAAAACCTTCCTTTTAAACTGTGACAAAATCTGGGTAACGCAAGGCTGACCATCTTGATCATGTTTGGGGCATGTTAAGCACACGTGCACGGCTGTGCAGCTACTGGCATTGTCCACCACAGAGACTTCTCATCTTCCCGAAAGGATATTCTGAGCCCACCTCAAACTAGCATCCCAGCCCTCGGCACCCATGCTGTTTTCTGTCTTTGCAAATTGGAAACTCTGGCAACTTCGTGTAAGCGGCATCACGTAATGTCTGTCCTTTTGTGATAGGTTCTTCTCCTGTCACTCATTGCAACCTCATTAACTTTGAAGGCTGAAGGCCATTCTGCTGGGCGGGTGCTGCAGAGTGGATGTCAAAGTCAGTGCCTCCCACATGACAGTGTAGACAGCAGTGCAAAGCTTTGAGAGTGATAGGGGCTCAAGTCAAACTCATGATCCCCCAGCCTCAGCCTCTCCGGTGCTGGGATTCGAGGTGAGTGTCGCCCTGCCTGGCTGTCTTCCAGTATTTCAAGCTGCCTCTGTAATGTCTTTGATCCACATACTCCTGAGAAGAAGTCCATTCCACTACAAGCTCTTCACCTTTGCAGTCTGACCTCTGGCTGCTGCACAGCTCCAGCGGCTCACTGGAGAAGTGGCACGGGATATCCGCACTTCTTCGGAGTAGGGTTTGCTGTGCTTCTTGGATTTAAATTTTCATCAAATTTGGAAAGATTCAAGGCCTTACTTTTTCTTTCCCAACACAAGAGACCTTCCCATGCAAATCAATTCCACGCTCTTTTCCACTTGATACCGTCCCACTGGTGTTCTGCTCTTCGCCTGTTTAACTTTTATGAAGCATCGTGTCTTTGAATGCACACACACTGACCTCTTCTGCACAGTTCAATCCAAACATCCACACGGCAGCTCACACTCATATGTAAACTCCACTTCTGAGGGGTCTAGCACCCTCTTTCAGCCCCTGTAGGCACTAGGCATGTGATATACAAACATGCATGCAGGCAGAACACTCAACACACACACACAGCCCAAAATAAACTTGAAACAGCTGATGGTAATGGGTGCCTTTAATATCACTACTTGGGAGGCAGAGGTAGGTGAATCTATTTGTTCAAGACCAGTCTGGTCTACAGAGCAAGGTTCAGGCCAGCCAAGGCTACATAGTGACACCCTGTCTCAGAAAACAAACAGAAAAAAAGAAAAAAAAAAGAAATGCCACCCACCTCCTTTGAGACACGGTGTCTCCCTGATTTGGAAACTCACTGGTCAAGCCAGTCTGACTGCCAGAGAGTGTCAGGATCTTCTTACTTCTGCCCCGAGCTTTCCTTCTAGCTATGTCACCATGCCCAGCCATCCTATGTGGGTTCCAGGGACGCAAGTTCTGGTCCTTACATACAAGCCCAGGCAAATGCAGTTCACTCCCCAGCTCCATAAAACAAACCAAAAACTAAACTAAAATACAGAGTGCATAAAAAGAAAAGGGGAAAGCTGAGCACAGGGCCAGCCAGAGCAACACAGCGGAGAGCTGGTCTCCTGACAAAATTCGAATGACAAAAGAATGACCGTAATAAAAATAAAGAAGCATGAGCTGCACGGCAACGTGTGAATTAGAAGAGGGAACTGACTATGGGAAGGGGCTCTCAGACCCCTGCATCATCCCAAACAATGAAGCCATGGCCATATTTTGCCTCTTTGACAAGTAAGACTGCCATCATTGCAGAGGAAAGAGTATAAACTACAAACAGGAAAAGAAACTGACAGTCACTCAAAAACTATGTAAAAGGGCTAGTGTGTAGCTCAGGGGAGAGCTCTGTAGGACATGGGGCCTGGGTTTGTGTCCCTGGTACCACAAGAAGAAGGGAGAGGGAAGGGAAGCGAAAAATTAGCACACACATACCCCATCTACCTGTAGCTCTGGTTAAATTATTTTTGTCAAGTCATGCATTGTAGCACATACCTTGAATCCCAGCAGAGGCAGAGGCAGGTGGTTCTCTGTGAGGTCAGCCTGGTCTACATAGTGAATTCCAGGATAGTCAGGGTTACTGACTATCAAAGAAAGAAAGAAAGAAAGAAAGAAAGAAAGAAAGAAAGAAAGAAAGAAAGAAAGAAAGAAAGGAAGGAAGGAAGATAGATTTCAACTGGAAAACCTCTCTCCCCATGTGCTGTGTGACTCCACACTGGTCCCCAAGCTGTCCCTGGTCTAGGAGATGTCATTTCACAGGTAGCTTTGATTCCACTTTGAGGGAGGATGACACCGAAGCCCCTGGGTGGACACAGAAACTGCACCCAGGTACCATGCATCCAGTAGACTGAAAAATCACTTATTTCTAAGAATAGAAAGAGTGTCACCCTGTAAGTTACTGAGGTGAACAGAAACTGTAGGAGCACAAGGATATATTACAATCATATCAGGAAACCAGGCCCAAGAACTTATTACTAGACATATCAGACTAAGGAGAGGGTGTCACTCCCTTACCTGGACTCCATAAAATGACTGACACCTAACCTAATGGACCCTCACCAAGTTGTCATCTGGTACCTTATATGTGCACCAAGGACCAAGGACTGGTATATCTGGATATGATGGAACATAGGCCAGCCTGAGTTATATAGGGAGTTCTAGGCCAGCCTAAGCTACTTAGAAATACTCTACTCCACCTTCTTCCACACCCCCCACACCCACCAAAAAAACAAAAACAAAAAGCAAAAAAAAACCTCATAAAAGAAGTTGGCTGGCAGGGCATTGGTGGTGCACGCCTTTAATCCCAGCACTCAGGAGGCAGAGGCAGGCAGATTTCTGTGAGTTTGAGACCAGCCTGGTCTACAAGAGCTAGTTCCAGAACAGCCTCCAAAGCCACAGAGAAACCCTGTCTCGAAAACAACAACAACAAAAAAAAAAAAAAAAAAAAGTGGGCTGGAGAGATGGCTCAATGGTTAAGAGCACTTCTGTTCTTGCAGAGGACCCATACTCAGTTCCCAGCACCAACTTGGTGGCTCACAACCATCTACAGGCACCCACAAGGTGCACATACATACATGCAAGCAAAACACTCACACACCTAAAATAAATAAAATACATCTAATGAAAAAATTTAAGGCTCAAAATGAAATCATAGTAGCAGATAATAATCTACTTAAGAACTAGAAAACCAAGTAAGTGGAAGTCAAATACCCAACACGCAAAGGAGAAAGTCACCTAAGCTCAGAGAGCCTCCAAGGAGACCCTGCAAAGATCCAGAGCACAATTCCAGCTCTCTCAAGACATGAAGAGAAAAAAAATAACTCAAGTAGGAGACAACTGCTCCCCGCATCTGAGGCTAGTTTAATCTTCTCATTATTTAAAAAGAAAAAAAGGGACAGAGAGTCACTACTGGACAACCTCTCATATGTCACGTGTGCTCATACACAGAGCCCCAGGAAGAATCAGTGAGTGACTCATCAGAGAGCATGACTCAGCTGGGTCTCCACGGGAAAGCTGAGAGCCTAACATTAATCAATAAGTCAAAGGGAAGCAGCCTGATTGGTTAAGTTGGTAACATCTGTTTACAAGCATGGTTTAAAAACCAAAACGAGTGCCGACTTTAGCACATCTCTGCACTAAAGTTAGAAATGCATGAAGACTAGCAAGGCCACTGTGCAAGGACAGTATGCAAGTTTGTGGTGTCCCATCCTGAAAGTCATCACCACCATCACTATCCTCACCACCACCACCACCACCACCACCACCACCACCATCACCACAAGTTAAAACCTTTTAGACAAAGGAGGGATAGAAGATAACTTCCTGAACTTAGTAAAGAACTATACACAACACAAACTGACCCAGGTGTGATGGTGCACACCTGTATGTACCCCAAGCACTCAGGAGAGTGAGACGGGGGATTGAAATAGCATACAAATGGATCTGCAAGTCAGTAAGATGCTAGATGAATAGCAAGCAGCAGGCATGCTGCAGTTCACAGAGCTGAGTCAGCTCAACAAAGACAGAGCATGCTCAAGAAAACACACCCTACAGAAAAGCCTCCTCAGGAAGGTTAAAGTGTTGCATACTTTCTTCTCCAAGTGTGTGTGTGTGTGTGTGTAAATGTGCCATCCGCCTCCTTTGAGACAGTCTCTCGCTGACAGGAAGCTCACTGCTAAGTTAGATGGGCTGGTCAGTGGGCCCAGGGATCCTCCTGTCTCTGCCACCCTATCCCCCCAGTACTGGGGTCACAGGCATACACCTCCACATCTGTTTTTCTAAGTGGGTGCTGGAGATAAAATCA